TCGTCATGAGTTATACGCTCCTCTCCCATCCTCAGTTTGTACTGTCTACCCAGCAACTGGAATATAAACAACAGAGTGGAAAGAAAACCTCCAAATGTGGACACTAACAACAGATTTAGAAGCTAGTTTGTCCTTGGGAGAGAGGGAAAAACAATTTCTTCCTAGAGAAAGGCTACAGATTATTTATATAAGTTCAAAGACAAGGTTAAATGTTAGACAAACATTAATTCCAGTTTCTCTACACGCAGTGCACAGGTGCGCCTTCAACAGCAGATTGTATGGTATAATCATTAAATTAATTCAACCGGACCTTAGAGAGTTAAAAACATATATTCTGAGGACCAGGACTCCTCGGTCCAAACAATGAGAATGAAACGGGGCAGAATATTTGTGTATCAAGGTGATTCCAGTTTCCAACTGGGAAAACAGGACTGTTAACGTCCCCGTCCCCTGACAACTGTCCAATTATGTAGATCACACTTGGCCTAGTGTTTGCTGAAGAAGTAATCAATAAAGGATGTGGTTGACTGAGCATAGATTTTGGTTGAACCAATGCATGAAAACTTAATCATTTACTCAGAGAGAAGAAATCAAATAGAGCAGAGATGGAGCAGCCACCGAGGGGTTTGCTGATTGTACCTCCAAGTTTGTGGGCCACAGATGAGAGTAATAAGGCAAATGGGATCAGTGGCGGGAGAAAACGTAAAAGGCGATTCTTAATTCCATGAATTAATAGAAACGCTTCTGCTGGTCTTTTTTTTTTTGGTCATTTTTAGCAAATTTCACATGGAAGCCTGAATACTCCATTTTAGAGAATATATGAAAATTACTAGGGCATGTCATTTCTCTCAAGCAAGAAGAAATTAATCTTCGGCTATAACGGAAAGGTAATTTTCACACTGGAAACTTTGTTGGGATTGATTTGAAGATCTCCACTGTGGAAAGTTTTCCAGGAAATCATTTCACTCAAGTGTGTGAGGAAATTGACAATGGGCACGGAGTAAACCCAGAAGTGGGCTTGCTGTGACCAGTGCATCGTGAACACAGCTGGGTGGGGTTCTTGTTTTTTAGGTCCTTTTAAGTAGTTTTCCTGATTATGTAGAGCTGTGGCATTTCAACAAGTGAATTTGTAAATGAGAATACACAAACATACATATTCCATAAGGAAAATTGCATGCACTTGAACCATCTCTCTCCAAAATCATCATTTAATAGTAATATTTACTTGGTAATTTCTCAGCTCACTTTTTCTTTATGAATCACAAATGACATTTATGGTAGTGTCATAAGACCCTTTCAGACTCAATTCTTCTCTTCAGTACTACTTCAAGTAGGGAGGAAATGACGTAAATGCTTACCCTCTCTCGCTCCTCTTAAGCCCTTATGCAATGTATATTGTTCACACTGATAGAAAAAAATGTCCACTACTGAAGCCTCCCTGAATAAGTCACGCCAGGTCTGGCTTGAGCAGCATCAAAGGGTAACTCTGTATCCCCAAACCTGAGAGAATGTGTGTTTCCCAGGGAAGGCTTAGTATAAATTCTTGTAACCATTTTAGAGCTTCTGGCTTATACTCCTTCCAGGTACTCTCAGCTGATGGCCTTAGACATGCACTTATCCTAGACATGGCTAACCTCTTCCATTTCCTTTAAAGAGATAAAATATGGTTATAGAGATAGGGCTGCATTAGGGAACCTGGTGCATCACTCAGGTTAGGAAGAAGAGATTTAGGAAGAATGCTAAGTTTCCTCCTAACACAACTTGATTTATTTCTCAGACACCACTGCCATAATTTTTCCTATTTTGCCTGTTACCTTTTGTGTGATACCTGCTAGTCCAGAAGAACAGTTGAGGACTTTGAGTGGGGTTGACATGTATGTACTTGTGTGTGTTTGCACATGGGTGGGCATGCTTGTTAAAGTTAATATTAATTCCTCAAAGCAACATTTTCTTAAAAATGACCACAAAACCTGTAAAGGTTTGGACAGTTTAATAGACTTGATTTTAATCAAAGCTTTCCAAATAGCCAGTGCTGTTGTGGTCCAGAATGTTTTGTTTTGAACACTGAAGAAATGTCCATAGATTACATCCTTGACCAAGGCCATGCTCCCCTGAATGCTCCTATGAGCCAATGCTGCAAAATGGCAGTTCCACACTGGGAAGGTCACGGCCTGGCATATTTTCTCCTATGGCTTCAGAGGAAGCATCCCTGTACCCTTCTGCATCCTATACAACATTACAAAATTAAGGACGCACAAATCAATGACAACTTTACCATACTTTAGTGAAAAGCAATTCCTATAAATGTAATTAGTTTTATTGGCATAGAAGTAAAATGTGGATCTGTTTCTGTGTGTGTGTGTGTGTGTGTCTGTCTCTGTCTGTCTCTCTGTCTCTGTCTCTCTGTCTCTGTCTCTGTCTCTCTCTCTCTCTCTCGTGTGTGTGTGTGTGTGTGTGTGTGTGTGTGTGTGTGTGTGTGTGCGCGCGCGCGCACGCGCACAGCTCCAGAAGATAATATTAGGAGTCTTTCTTGATTACTCTCCACACAATTTTTTTGCCTTTGAGACAGCATTCATCTGTGTAGCCCTGGCTATCCTGGAACTCGCTCTGCAGCACAGGCTGGCCTTGAACTCACAGAGGTCCACCTGGCTCTGCCTCCCGGGTACTGGGATTAAAGGCATGTGTCACCACCACTGCCAGCATCAACACACCATTTTTTTTTTTTTTTTTGAGACAGGGTCTCTTACAGAACCTGGAGCTCATCAATTAGACTAGCTCTCCAGCAAGCCCCAGAGATGCGCCTGTCCTGGCCTCTCCTGCACTGGGATTACAGCATGAACAACCATGCTGCCCTTTACGGGATCCTGGAGATCTGAGCATCCATCTGTATGATTTCACAACAAGCCCTTTCCTGATTGGGCACTTTCACGGCTCTGTTTGCAGTGTTGCCGAGAATATAAGAAACGGATTTTCCCCATTCCTAAGAAAAACTTGCTACCTCCTGGCCTGGCATGCACAGCTATGGCTTTCCCCACCTCAGGCACATTGGGTCATCTGTGTCAGAATTTACCAAATTATCATTCATCTTTGCCCTTAGTGTTGATGGGACAGATCAAGAATTCCCATTCTGAGGTACATACTGAAATATCTCAGATGAAACATGCAGTGAACCTTTGCAGATAATTTCAAGCCAACCTCAAGTGTCCAGAAGTTTCAAAAATAAATACGAGAGCCATCGGTAACCAAAGGCCGCCATGGCATTATCTTGTGACAGGGCAAATGCTCAGAAAAGGTTGTAAGGGAAACCATTCCCTCTAGAGTTTTCTCTCTCTAGCCATGTGGAATGTTATAGAAATTTCCTTTTATAAGAATTACTTTATGAGTATGTGAAGGGACACATTAATATTACTGTGTGAACTTAGATCAGGCTTATCACTACAAAGTGAGATGAGGAATTCAACTATTTTCTAGGGGATGGAGAGATGGCCCAACAATTAGAGCACTTGAATACTATTCCAGAGGACCATGGGTTCAATTCCCAGTACCCACATGATGGCTGACAACCACCTCTAATTCTAGTGCCAGAGCATCTGATCTCCTCCTATTCTGGCTCCTGTGGACACCAGGCATCATCATGTACAGACATGCACATATATAAAACATGCATGCATATAAAATAAAAGAAAAAACAAATAACAAAACAAAACCAACAACAAAACCCCCACAAAAACCCAACTGTTTTCTACTGATTTGCAACAATGACGATATCAGAGGCAGGTGATTTAGTAGTTGAAATGAACTGGCCAAAGACATGCACAGGGTCCGTAAGACCAATCAGATATTAAGTTGAATACGAGCCAGTCTCATCTTAGCTGCTGTTTGGAGAGCAGAGCTTTCAAGAGGCAGCTGGTGGGTCTGCTGGGCACTGCTCACCATGCATATTGGGAGGGTCCACTTCCAGGTTGCTTGCTTTCCTTACGTGTGGCTGGCCCTGGCTCTCTCCAGTAAACATCCACATTCTCAACAGTACACCTTCTCCTAAGATATTTGTCTAACAATGACCAGGTTTTAACTGATATTTTATAGGCCACCTTCCATTTGATTTGTATTAGCATTTTAAGAAGTGATTCTTATATTAGTAGTGATATTTATGTAATGATTCTACTTTTAGTTCATGTAGCAAATAAACGTTAAATGCCTTTCAACAACACCGCCACCTTTTCAGACTGCCCTGTATATAGCCAATATGTTTACAATGGAAGACGAATATGAAGAAGTTACAGTGTAACAAATTTTACACTTGCCACTATTATTATTATTATTAACAAGCTATATTTTGGCTCTAAGCTAACATACTGGAAAAACAAGACTGTGTTTGATGGATTTTGGTGTTGTGAGTGGCTGCCACACAGTCACGCTCTATAGCGAATGGTGAACCAGATCGCACTGGCTGCAATACAGGAAGTGAGGGGCAACCAGCAAGTTTCCACCAAAGGCCGAATCAGAAGCTGCTCTAGAGATTTTCATTAACCTTTCTGTTTCAAATGAAATGTTGGGAGTGTTGGTTTGCACCCAGCTGTTAATCCAGGTTTGCTTAATGAAAGGAGTGTGGTGGAGGTTCAGATGGAGACTCTTCCTGAGGAACTCAGCAGAGGCTAGGCGAGTCACAACATCGAGGCTCACTGCCTGGTACAGGCTCTCTGCAGCCCTGACCTATGAGATGTGACCTGATTTTTTTCCTGCTTGGGTTCATTCAAGGTCATCACTCAGAAAACGAAAGGGAGCTAACCCAATGGAGGAACGGACGGAGACGACTTTGGATGCATCTTTTAAAAATACCACACTGGTTTGAAGTAACTTACCATCAAAGGGTCACTTAAGAAGGGCACTGCTTAAAATTTCAGCAGGCAGTAATGGAAAGCGACAGACCTCAAACAATTTAAGTCCTTCACAGCTGGGTGACTCCACAGGGACAGCAGGCCAAGGCTGTGCTAACTTACCTCTGCAGGACCTTGGCGATCACCTCGTAGGCTCTCCCCAGGCTAAGGTCATCATCCATGTTGGTGGCGATCTCACAGTACCTGTGAAGCACCTATGGGGAGAGGAACATGCTGAGCGGGTAGTCTGTCCACATTTATGGATGGCGCATTTCATGATAGAGAAGATGAAAATGCATCCTTTTTAAACGTCTAAGTTTTTGTTTATTAAAGGTCCACGCTGGTTTGGTTTATTTTTGTCTGTGCTATGACTGTTTCACAGCTATCTCTTTGAGCCATGACAGTGAAGTCTTACTTTTGAAATTTTTTTTTCCTCACACCATCCCAATTCTCCAAACCTTTCCGTTTATATAATGTAGGTGTGAATAAATAATTGAATGGTTTACAGCATTATTTTAAAATATGGAGACTATTACCTAAGGTAATATAAGGCAGATTAGAATGTTCTACCATAGTAGTTCAAATATCATGGTTCTTTCTATAAATAGCTCCTTGAAGAGAATGAATTTAGGCGATGGGTCTTCTCTAAATCTGTCATTATAGGAGAGGCCTGCCTTGCAGTGTTATGTGTATATAGCGCAGACTAAAAATATTTCTTACAAATGTACTTCATTACCAGCAATCTCCGTGGTAATCAGAAGATTGCAGCTGCCGCAGCCAAACATATGATCTTAATTTAATTTAGCATTGACATCATCGGTGTGCTGTCATTTTCCTCTTTTTAATTCCCTGCTCCATTCCCTGGTCAGAGGAGGAAAACACAGAAACCACCATCCCCTCTCTCCTCTTCCTTAATTGTTGTGTGGCCCAACCTATTACACACATGAGGACGCAGGAAATCTCCAAAGACCTCGGTGAAAATCCTTTGTGCACATTTTCTAGGAAGGCATCAGAGGACGTCGCTTTATGGCATTTGAGAGGGTGGGGCGGGGGTGGGGCACACATCTGCCTGGTGTGCTCTGCCTCAGACGCTGGCACGAAGGGTTATGTACTAGGAGAGGCCACGTTTGTCTCCGTACCGCCCTCTCCTGTGGTCCCTCCCCCATTCGCTTTCTGTTTCCTTCCCTATCTGCTTCCATGTCACATTCATCTTTATTTCTTCAAAGTTAACATTGGGGAAATAATTCCATGAGGCCATCGTGATCCCTCGTTAGAAGCAGCTCTCCTGTGGTTTATAAGACACTGCTCATGTTAAGACCTGTCCATGGCTCTGCATCAACCCTGAAGTCCACAAAGTTCTAAACTTTGAAAATGCTTTCAACAGTTTTGATTGACAAGTGATGACTGCATTTATTGATAAGCTATAGTGTGATGCTTTGTCCTGTGCGTAATTGGGGAGCTCACTGGCCAACTTCCCAACTTGTTATTGTTTTATGATAATAGTGTTCAAAAAACAAACAAAAAGAATGTACATAATATATTTTGATCATTTTTTTTTATCTTTGTGTGTGTGTTCCTGTGTGTGAATTGGGTACACACATGCCACGGCACATGTGTGGAGGCCAGAGGACAGTCACAGGTTCCAGACTTCACCTCCTCCTCATTTGGAAGAGGCCTCTTGTTCTCACTGTGTAACATTAAGCTGGCCCATTAAAGGTAACAGAATTTTCTCAAGTCCAGCCCTGAGAAAATTCCTCCCAGAGTCTTGGGAAAGATGCTAAGCCTGGCATGGGTTATCTGAGGGAAAGGAATCTACATACACCATGCTTTTTTGTCCGTTGACTTTATTCCTCTGTGACAAAATTCTGTCTGTACAGCTTCAGCCCTGTCCTCACATTCAGCTCCTCTCTGTGCCCAGTTTTCCTGTCCTCATAGTTTTAGTAAGCTCCTATGCTTTTGACCTGATCTTTGTCCTCTGTTCCTTCATCCTCCATCTCCCCTTCCTGGCTTCTTACTCCTGGCCCTGATAAACTCTATTAGAGATCTGCTTTACCCTCTACAGAACCTCTGTCTTCCTCTCTTTTCTCTGGCCATGTGGTTCTGTGTCTGCCTCTGGAATTCTACTCCAGTCCTTACTGCACCTGGTTATACAAAAAGTCCTATTGTCCTCAATCAGTCTCTCTGTCAGGCCCCTAGGCCTGAGGGAAGGGGATGGTCTGAGCACAAGAAATAAAGCTATGCATCTACAGTCTGCTTGTCTCCTAGACTCAGCAGGGGAGTTAGTTACCTAGAGGTTCAGCAGGTCTGAGGAGCTGAACTGTTTGCCAAATGGTCTATAGTATATGGGCACACAAGAATTTCATAGCAAGGTGCAGCTGAATATTAAGGCTGTATAACACCAAATATTCTGTGATAAATGGCTTCCCATTTGGTGGAACCTTGGTCGGTCAAAGTATAGCTTTAATACACAGCTGAATCTCTATAATATATTCATGCAGCCTGTAAGAGCCCATGTGCTTCATTGGAGTTCTCTGCCTCCTGTCTTGCTTCAGGAATACTGCACACTTCCACATCTGACTTGGCATGGTGAATTCTGCATTATACACACACACCACATCTGGCTTGGTGTGGTACATACTGCACTTACACACCACCACATCTGGCTTGGCGTGGTGAACACTGCACTTACACACCACCACATCTGGCTTGGCGTGGTGAATACTGCACTTACTACCACATCTGGCTTGGCATGGTGAATACTGCACTTACACACTACCACATCTGGCTTGGCGTGCTAAATACTGCATTACACACTACCACATCTGGCTTGGCATGCTAAATACTGCATTACACACTACCACATCTGGCTTGGTGTGGTACATACTGCACTTACACACCACCACATCTCGCTTGGTGTGGTGAACACTGCACTTACACACCACCACATATATGGCTTGGCGTGGTGAATACTGCACTTACATACCACCACATCTGGCTTGGTGTGGTAAATACTGCACTTACACACACACTACCACATCTGGCTTGGTGTGGTGAATACTGCATTACACACACACACCACATCTGGCTTGGCGTGGTAAATACTGTGATAGATCCACAACACGCCCCCACGGTTGGACACGTCCAGCGGACCTAGACACTTCAGCCTAGCCAGTTCTGTCAAAATAGCCATTTCCAGGCCAAGGCATCTCGAGTTACCAGGATCCCGTGGCTTCGCATGGTTGCATAAGAGTGCACAACGAAACCATGTGATCTACGTGCATCGTGGAGTAGCCACATCGACCTGTGTACGCATGCGCCACCCAGCCTTTATAAGCCGGCACCATATTCCCGGCTTCCTTCTTCTTCTCCATACATGTGTCTCTTCCGAAGGCCTGAGCACTTGTCTGTCCTTTTATCTTAATAAAACTCCTGTTAGTGGATTCTGACGTGTTTCATGACATTTCCTCACAGGGTAAGAGCACCGAAAAATAACTAACATACTGCACTTACACACACCCACACACACCACATCTGGCTTTGAGTGGTGTGGGTGCTAGGATCTAAACCCAGGTCCTCACACTTGCACAGCAAGCTGTCCACCTCCTGAGCTGCATCTCTGGCCCTCCCTTGGCAATTTTGGAATATATAGCACATGATCAGTAGCCTTGATTCTCATTTTTCGGCCTCTCAATGAAGCTCCGCAGAAACCTTAGAACATTCTTTTTGTCCCATCCTTACAGCTGACAGTTCATTGCTTTGACCTGAGGTGACTTCACAGAGCCTACTCTGAGGCATGAGATAGAACCTTTGAATTTTTTTAAAATTTGTAAAGAACCTTGTTGAACTGATGCACAAAGACATGTAGGAAGAGACTCTAAGGAGCTTTATTTTGGTCCACATATTTCTAGATGACATTCTAGAATCTCAAATTAAAGGCTGACTATTGTGTGCCCAAAATAGTTCATTTGCTTTTTTTTTTTTTTAAATAAAAACTGTTGCCGGGCAGTGGTGGCGCACGCCTTTAATCCCAGCACTCAGGAGGCAGAGCCAGGCAGATCTCTGTGAGTTCGAGGCCAGCCTGGTCTCCAAAGCGAGTT